CTCATATAGCCAAATGCACAATCATATAGCCAAATGCACAATCCATTCATACAGCCAAATGCACAATCCATTACATACATGTTCTCAAGATAAATAATGACTAGTTTTCAAGTAATAGGACTTGTCCCTTACATTTTATTGCACTTAGCTCAGCCTAAATCTAGCTGGTAATTGAAGTTGGTTAATTGACTGTAAACAAAGAAAAAATAATGATCTATATCTTGGTGACAAGAGATAGTTTTACAACTTGTCACCAGGTTAAAATTGTCTCCTGCTTAATGTGGGGGATACGGAACTCTTCTCCTTTGATATTTACATTTAGAGGTGATGGATCCCCAAGTTTTGAGGACCTGTACTCCTAGACCAATTTGACAAAGGGCCTATGTACCTTTTAAAAAGATCTGTACTTTCCTACGAGGCGGGAAAGTGCTTCCAGTTACAAGTTTCCAAAATAAATGCTCTGAGCTAAGGGAAGGGAAATCTCTAGCTTTACTTTGAACAGGGAAAATTAAGCCTCTTACTTTTAATTTGCATTTTTCTTACATGTATCAATTTCCTTTGAGGAACATTTTTGGAAATCTCAGAAAAATTTCCATTTATATCTCATTAGCCAGTACTTCCTTAAATGGATACACTTAGCATCCCAGAAAGCTGCAGAACAGTCTTTTAGTTGAGTGCATTGCTACATTTTAAAAAGATAGATCAGGATTCAACTCTAAGAAAAATTTGATTTTTATACTGGTAATATTTAGGTAGCAGATCAAGTTGCCTATTGTATTCTTGTTATAAAAGAATGAAATATACCATCTATAGAAGAAATTATTACCCTTCTATAATTCTTTTTTTGGTAATAGGAAATTGGAAAAGGTAAGATCCATCAAAATTATCTGAAATGATTCCTTACTTAGAACTCAAGTTTAAAAACTGTGATAGAGGAAAGTTTTGCTGGAAATGAACTTGTTGTATTCCGTTATGTAATATCAGCTGACCCAGGAAGAGGCCACTCTTACTAATTTACTACTTAGGTATAGCTTTTATTCATATTCGTAACCAGTGAGCATCCTACTTACAGTAGGAAGAAAAGCATAGAATACTTCTGAATTGTCTAAATATGAAATGAACAAGAATGAAAAATGGAACTTTTAAAATCCTCTGAAGAACACAAAAGAACTGATCTAAAGGCAAGGCATACTTTGTGTTAAAATGACAAAAACCCAACATCATGAAAATGTCAAGTGCACAGATTTTTATCCCTTTAATACAACTTCAGTAAAAATAGGAGTTTTTCAATTAGACAAGATAACACTGAAGCCCTTTTGAAAAAGTAAATAAACAAAAATGCCAGGAAAATTGACAATGAAGAACAATGAGGATCTGCCCCCCTAGATATTGAATATGAAACAAAGCCTTAACCATTACAATAGTATTGTCTCCCACATTAACAAACAGATTACCAAACAGACCAAGACACAGAATAAGACGTCAAAAAATAAACCAAATCACATAAGGGGATTTAGTGTATATTAATGATGGTGGTTCACATCAGTAAAGAAAAGAAAAGCCATTTAAAATATGTTACTGGGCTGGGTAGCCATCTGCTAAAATGTTAAAATAGAACTCAAATCTCAAAATGAATGCTAGAAAAAAATTTTAATGGATCAAATTTTAAATTAAACAAGGAAGATACAAGTGTACATGAAGAAAACATTAATAGACCATTCTAAATTGTGACTCCAATGTCCAGAAGTCTTAAAAGATTAATGAATTCAATTAAATAATATTTTTTTAAACCGTGTAAAAAATAAAACAAAGCAAGAAAAAAAGGCGGGTGGGCACCGGGACTGAAGGTCAGTGGTATAGCACTTGTTTAGCATGTGCAAGGCCCTGGGTTCAATCCTGAGCACCAGGAGAGAAAGAGAGTGAGAGGGAAAAACAGAGAAGAAACAAGAAAAACACTAAGCAAAACAAATAACAAATAGACAAATAAATTTGAAATTGATATTATATGAAAGACCTACTAACCCTAAAATATAATAAATATTTCAAAAACTAAGGAAAAAAACAATTAAAAGGATAAAAGATACAAATGGACAGTTCACAAAAAAAAGAAAATATGAATCTTAAATATGTTGAAGTCACCTACTGGGTTAAATTATCCTTTACAAATTGTTCTTTGCAAACTTGCCTCTTATTTTTCCCTTTGCCTAGTATTCAAAATTCAAAAGAAAAGCTGCACCTACACGATTTTAGATATTAACTGCTAGAGTCAGCTATTCCAAGAAAAAGGAACAAGAAAAACACTGGTCACAAGACCTCCTAATCATTAATCTTTCTTTAGATTTACAGAACCCAGAACACTGAGTCATCTTCAGGTAATATCAGAATGTGCAAGTCTGGGGATATAGCTCAGTGGGTAGAGTGCTTGCCTTGCATGCACAAGGCCCTGGGTTCAATCCTTACCATCAAGAAGAGAGAAAGAGAGAAAGAAAGACATGGACCACCACAGTATTAATGATTACTCTTGGCACCCACCCATGTGTGGCTAAGAATACACTTCCTTAAATTTCCTGTATATGCTCTTGGGTTGCAGTTAGTAGGGAAGATGATGTTTCCAGGACAGGAGTCTGCCATCTTCAAACTTGCCAGCATGGAGCCAGTAAAGTTCTTCCTACTCCTATTATTGTTTCTCAAGTCATTGGTTTTACCAGATGGCAAGAGAACCCGACATTTCACAGTTACAATATGAGAAAATGTGTAATCTCATTTATGACACAGATTAAAACTGACTGAATTGCTCACTTTTATCTATCAGAAGGACAAAAAGTAAAAAAAAAAATTCATACATTTATGTTGATTAAACTGTGATAAAATTGTACTCTAATGTCTTGCTGGTGAGATTGTAAGTTGGCACAACACTTAGTGGAATGGAATAGGATAATATCTATAAGAATAACACATTTAGAATGTATTTTTGAAATGGTTTTAATTCTAAACTCTTCACACATAGGTACAATTGTGTGTACACACACACACACACACACACACACAGTTATTCATTGGAACATTATTTGTAATTGCACAAAGTTGGAAACATCCCAATAAAACTCCATGTAGCTGTCACAAGAATGAGGAAGCAATTAATATACTGTCATATAATTATCTTCAAGATATATTAATACATACAAAAAATACCCCAAGATGTAGAATAATTTGCATAGTACTGTAGGGAAAAGGAAATGGTCCCTCTGAAGGCTCAGTAATTAAATTGATGAAATAAAAAGGCAGTAGACAGATTAACAAGAGAAAATGTACTCAGATTTTTTATGTGCATGTAAGGAACTTTATAAAGGAAAAGTGATTACTCCAAAAGCCAGTAAAACCAAGAATCTTATATACTTTCTTCATATGGGAGAGTAAAAGAGGGCTTTAGGCAACTTAGGGGATAGTAAACAGTTTGGGGGGGAATAAGAATGGCCCTAAGAAGAGTAAGTGATACCTGGGACAAAGTCTGCCTGAGCCTGGTGCTTATCTTCAGTCTCCTCTCCAGTGACACAATCTTCCCTAGCTGACAAAAATTCCTGGAGAGACTTGTGGCACTTTTATTCCCTCTGGTGAATCTGTCTTTAATCAGACAAGGAAAGTTCAGAGAAAATCCTTCCCTATGCTCACTGCACCCCAAGTGCCCTCAGTTTGAAGTCCAGAAGATGATATATTAAGGGATGGCATTTACCAACCTCCTTCAGTGTGCTGCTTGTCATATGTATAAAAAGGGCAAAAAAATCACATTATTGTCTTTTTATACATTAAAAGAGTTAGTTTCCATTTCTCTCTCACATCTTCTTTCTCTCTTTGCCCCTTCCCCCTTCAAGGCACACACACAATACTAAATAAGTACACATATGTACATATATATCATGAGTATATATTTATGTACATACTTATACATTTAAAATTTCCAGATTAATTGAGTAAAGATGGTTACCTTATTGAATGGAGGGTGTCACAGGGGCAATACAGGACAGGGTGGGAAGGAGACTTCTTACCAAGTAACTCTTTAGAGATATTTTTAACCATGTTAATCCATTACTATTTTAAAAATATTTTTTAAAGGAGGGTCAATAGAGAGTGAACACTTGCAATTTGGGATATAAACTAAGTCTGTTTTGACTCAAAACTGAAGAAAAATCTATTATAATCATAAATGCCTACGTTTTTCTTAAAACACTTCTACATCTGATTATTTAAATTGCCAGTAATAGAAACCCTATGCCTGAAGCCTTTCATTGAATATTTATCTGAGATACTCAGACTTGCAGTGAATGAGTAAGGGAAAATGCATTTGAGTTAGATAAACAGATAGTTCCATTTAATTAACATAATTGTCACTTAGTAAAAAGGTTACCCTCTTTCCAAATGTGATAAATTACTTTCTCAATTCAATCAGATGGACACACATTGGTAGAACTGTTTGAAAAAAATTTTTTCCATTATGTATATAAACCACATTTTCTTTATCCATTCATCTGTTGATGCGCATCTAGGTTGATTTCATAGCTTAGTTATTGTACAAGACTGGGATCCTAATTAGAATAAGACATATCCTATGTGTGCATAAATATGTCAAAATAGATTCTCCAATCATGTATAACTAAAAAGAACAAACAAAATTTTAAAAAAAGAAAAGTAATTTTTTTAATTGGCCAAGATTTGCACTCCTGTTTACAGTTTTCTCAGGGTAACTCCTTTTGGATTTTAAAATATGTGTGAAACACAAGGGAGCATAAATGAAGCAATTTAGCATCTACACTATTCTGGTAACTGATTAATTGTTATA